GTGAACAGCCAGAAGACGCCGCTGGGAGACAACAGCGCCGTGGCACAGTCGCGCAGCCACGTCGCGTGTTCCGGGGCGTAGACGGCGTCGGCGGCGATGAGCATGTCGGCCTTCTTATCTAGTGGCGCGACGAGGGAGGGGCGGGACCAGTCTAGGAAGGCCGTCTCGACCTGGGGCTTACGGGGGGTGGAAAAAGAACCTGAGAAGGAGGACGAGGAGGAGGAGGACAAAGGAGAAGGAGGAGACGTAAAGTTGGCGGCTATGTTAGCCGAAAGATTAGCCAGGACGGCAGGATGGTAGTCTGTCGCGATAACGGCAGCCGAGGGAACGGCGAGGCGAGGCAGCAGGGAGCCGAGGACGAGACTGATGAGACCCGTTCCGGCACCGAGCTCAACGATACGCGGGCACGGGCCGAGGGCGGCGCTCGTGAGGCCGAAGCGGGCGGGTTCGGTGCAGAGTTGCCGTGAGAGCACGATGGAGGCGCCCCAACTCTGGAGGCCGACATCGTCTGGGTCCGTAGAGTCGCGACCCGAGAGCCCGTCGTTGAGGTGTACCGCGACCGGAGGCTCGCTGGATGATGACAGCGCAAAGGAGAAGTGGCGCGTGTAGCTCTGGTCGCCCTGCTCGTCGTCGGTTGGAGTCATGTGGAAGGACTCGAGGATGGAGGCGGCCTGGTGGACGGCTCGTTCCATCGTCTCCTCAAGACTTAGGCTTGGGATCTCGGCGGCGCGGGCGATGAAGCGCGTGAGCCAGCGCTCGGTGAAAGAGCGCTCGTAGTCGTCGGCGCGCAGGGCGGCAAGGCGCTGCTGTGTGCTCCCGGGGCAGCCCTCATCTTCTTCGGTGGCAGACGTGTAGCCGGAGTCGACGAAGTCCGAATCTGAGACCTTTGCATGGCCATGCTTGTGAACCAGGGTAGAAGCGAACGAGGCCGTCAGGGGGCAGTACAGAGCGGCGAGGGTTGTTAGTGATGCGAAGATCTGGTCCTCAGTGAGCGTGTCCAACAGACGCAGAGGTGGTAGGCTGCCCGAAGGCACAAGCGGACACCCCGCGGGCTCCATGACGTGGGCAGGTTGGGATGTTTGAAGCTTTGAAGGAGTGACTTGGTTGAATGAAAAGGAAGAAATGCCTCTTCAGAAACTCACAACGGAGGAAACGCCATGGCGATGAGTCGCATCGGCTGGGCCTCCGCGATGACGGCGGGCGACCTTCCTGTTTGCCCTAAGTGGATGGCCCGGGGGTGGGCAGATGAGCGAGTGCCGTGAGGTAGATAAGATAAGCGCGGGCTAGACCAGGGGCAAAGGAAAAAAAACTGAGGCTATCGTGAAAATTTTGGTTCGAGGCGAAAAGCTCCAGATCCCGGTGGGGGCGCCGCCCACGTGCTCCACCAACCGGCTCGCAATGGTCTCATCACGGATGTCGCGACTTGAATGACTTGACTCCGGCCAGCCTCTTGCATTGCATTAAGTGAAGGCAATAAGTATACGTACCTTTTCAAAGATGAATCTATCACTGTCACCCCGTGTTGTGGCTGGTGCCATCAAGCTTGCTCAATAAGTAGTATCTCTCTCTACACAGGAGCCCACAGATCTCAGTTCGTCCTGACAAGCAATCTCCAGATGTCCCCCACATAACCGCCTTGTGTGTGTGCGGGCTACCCCGTGGCCTTGATTGTGGAGGCTGAAATCATCAATGCTATGGCCGCCTCACCTTTGTGCTTCTTTCATCTCCATATGCCATGGCTGAATAGACGAAGAGACATGCCAAGACTCTCGCCTTTCGAGAAATGCAACGTCTCGCGAGCCTAGTCCTCAATGGAGGCGATAGCGAAGCTCGCTTTGCCGTGAATTAATCAGCTCGTGGCCGGCGAGCCCAAAGCGGTAAGCTCTCTCCGTTGCAGCCGACCATCCAATTGGTGCGGGATGGAGTCATCCTTGGCCGAGTTGACGGGGGTTAAGGCTGGGGATCGACCATCGAGGAGACTACAAACACCATGCGACCGCTTCGTTGAGCAGCGAACGAGAATGGTCATTGCCTCAACGCTCGGAAGAACATCGACATGACGACTGAGAAAGATACCCCCAAACAGGTGCGGGAGCAATTGGCCCTGGAACCCGGCACTCTTCCTTTCAGCGGGCCAGGACAGCAGCAGCCGCCTCAGGATGAGAGCGAAAACACCCTTCACGCCTGGCTTACCGTCACTGGCGCCGTTCTCGTCTACTTTGTATGCTTTGGTTTCATGACGAGTTTTGGCTTTTTTCAGGACTACTACAGCAAGAATCGTCTGACCGGCTCCTCACCCTCCCTCGTCGCCCTCATCGGATCCCTCCAGCTCGGTCTGATGTACCTCGTCGGACCCATCTCTGGTGCCCTGCTCGATGCATGGGGACCCAAGGTACGGGAGTTGCCCTTTCCAAGATTGCGTGTTTCAAGGCGTGGAGAGACTACGTAGACAAGACTGACAATGACAGCTTCTCTACATTGCCGGCGCCACAGGTGCCATTATCTCTTGTGTCGGCCTGTCCTTCGCTCAACCCGACCAGATCTGGCAGTACTTTCTCAGCCAGGGCGTCCTCTTCGGCCTGACTGTCGCCTTTGGCGTCCAGGTCGCTCTGTCCGTCACAGGCCAGCACTTCAAGAAGAACCGTGCACTTGCCATGGGCATCGTCGCTGGCGGTAGCAGTGCTGGTGGTGTCTGCTTCCCCATCATGTTCTCGAGGCTCGTTCCCAAAATCGGTTTCCCCTGGACCATCCGCGTCGCCGCCTTGCTGTTCCTCGTCTGCTACGTCATCGCCATCCTCATCTCCAAGCCAAAGTCGCCGGCGCGGTCGATCGATTCAATCAGGGACATTGTTGACTTCAACGGCTTCAAGGACGTGCGGTATGTCACTCTGGCTCTGGCCACGGTCGTCGGTAACCTGGGCTTGTACGTTCCGTACAACTTTCTCGGTGAGTATCTTCTTCCCTCCCCACACTCTGTAGTGGGAATGGCTTGCTGACTTTCTCGTCAGAGGCCTTCCTGAAGCTTCATCATCCTGAAGCCAGCATCGGCAGCTATCTGCTGCCGCTAATCAACGGATCCAGCTTTTTCGGACGCGTCAGGTGAGTCTCTCGCCCTGCGATGCGCAGCGCGCACATACTGATATGCCTTCCTTCAGCGGAGGCTTCATCGCCGACAAGATCGGCGGTCTCAACCTCCTCTACCCAATGACGATCCTCTCTGGCGTGCTCTGCCTCACAATGTGGCTCCTCGCCGAGAGCGTCGGCCTCATCGTCGCCTTTGCCTGTCTCTACGGTATGAGCCACCACATAACTAGTTACGCGATTCCCTCGCGCTGCCTTGTTCTCGTCCTCCGCCAACAGCCTCAGCTGACATTCATCCAGGCTTCTGTTCGGGCACCTACATCAGCGTCATGCCCTCCATCGTCGCCCGAATCTCGCCCGAGAAGCACATTGGTGCGCGGCTCGGCGCCTTCTTCAGCCTCGGCGCCATCGGCGTCTTCACGGGTACGCCCATCGGCGGCGCCTTCATCCGCGAGGGCACCGAGAAAGAGTTCCAGGGACTCGTGCTGTTTGGGGGCTGCTGCATGACGGCCGCGGGCCTGTTGCTTCTCACGGCGAGGTGGCTCTGCGACCGGAACTTCAAAACAAAGTGGTAGTAGCGTAGACCACGGCGAAGCAGGTGCTGTGAATTCCTGGGGAATTTTGGGCTTGACGATGCTTGGCGGGGATCTCGATCACAGAGGCAGGGGGGGCGGGGGTATAGTCAGAGATAAAAATTGGCATAGCGTTTTGAGCGATGATACCCCATTCGATTAGAATATGAACGAAAAGAAAACTCTGGAATAATGGGCCCAAATATGGCGATGACCCTCGCCTATATCCGATTAACCTCAATCGCGCGCATGAATGTGGGATCGCTCCGTTGTCGTGTCTGCACTGCGACGCACGCTGTCAATTGATCTACGGACAAATCCAGCTTCGTCAGATAGAAAGCGACCTTATTATCATGATCAGATCCAACCTTCTAGTTTCAGGAGCACTCAGGACTCTTGATTGACCTAGAGCGAGGCGGTGTTTACTGCATGACGATGCATCTGATCGACGCATCTACCTTCTCGAGGACGAGCCTCTCGGACGACAAATGCCACGGCAGCAGTCGACAGGGAGCGATACGACCTCTGGCGAGGCATGACGAGTCGGATTGTCGGCATTGGGTGCACCGCACAAATGATTAGCGCTTCCTACCGAGGCGCTGGGCTAGGCATATTGCATTCCACAAGCGTGCTCGATCTCTCCCCCATCCCCCCAAAGGATATCGTGAAAAGACCCCGAATTGGCCACAGCGGCGCTGTGCTGGCAGCGCTCTCCAAGCGCTGTTGAGCTCGAATACGAGAGGCCTAGCCCGCACGGCCTGAAGGTGTCCGGGCCATTTACAGGGTCTTGCGGCCCGCTAACACGATCTGGGGTAGCATGGGGAACAAGGCCCTACACCCGAGCTAGGCGGTTGAGCCATGCCGTATGGGGCCTGGAGTGGCACGGGAAAGCTCTATTTTTGTTCTGTCCAAAGGACGTTAAGTCGTGGCCACGGCGTAGCCGTCCGCTGACGAGTAGGCGACTGCGCAACAATGCCGGGTGCGACAAGGGCGAAAACGAATGAGGGAAGTCTCACCACACGATACGAAGTAAGGCAAGCTGTCTGTGGGTGTTGCAAGGCCGCGTGACGCAGCGATGACCAGCTTCGGGTTAGCCATCAGCTGATTGTCGCGATGCCTCGGAGACTTAGCCAGCAATGTCCAAATCTGTTGACGATCTGCTCGTTTCGTTGAGTATAAAGGAGCAGAGTCGGTGCTACTCAAGGTTATTCTCGTCTCGTCATCACGCCATCACCACCCAGTCAAACTATCGCAACTTTCGCTTTCAACACCACAACACATTCGCTTTCAGCTTCGAATCATACTTTTTGAACAATCTCACAATTCAACCATCCCTCAACCTCCAACATGCAGCTGTCCAACCTCCTCACCATCTTCACCGTCGCCACCGCCGCCTCGGCCGCCTCTGGTATGAACCCATCTCCAAGTGACTTCCGTCTGAAGCATACTTACACTCATATAGTCTCCTACGACAAGGGCTACGACAACGGCTCACGCTCTCTAACTGCCGTCAGCTGCTCCGACGGCGCCAACGGCCTCATCACCCGCTACGGCTGGCAAACCCAAAAGCAGGTCAAGAAGTTCCCTTACATCGGTGGCGCGCCTGCCGTCGCTGGTTGGAACTCGCCCAACGTAAGTGCACTATTATCGTGTTTTCCATGCTCAACCCCACTGACGAGATATTCTTCAGTGCGGCACCTGCTGGGAGCTCAGCTACAACGGACGCACCATCAATGTCCTCGCTATCGACCACTCGGCAAATGGCTTCAACATTGCCCTCGACGCCATGAACGCCCTCACTGGTGGACAGGCTGTCAAGCTTGGCCGTGTCAATGCCAGCTCTAAGCAGGTCAACAAGAGCAAGTGCGGCCTCTGAGGGGTTTGCGTTAGAAGAGCAGCATGGCTGCGGGATATTGGTTTCGGATTGCAATCCATGACTTGGGGGCTGTGATTTGGCATTGGAGCGGGTTTGCATTGGCCTGTAGCGACTTGTTAGAATATGTCGAGAAATATAATCTTAATTAGTTGATACACTGCAGCTTGGGGTCAGAGGATATCTGGCTGACCCAATTTAAAATACTACAAGGTCAAGTGGTGCCCTTCACGAGGATAACCGATGCCACGACTGAGCTTGGGGCCTTGAAGAGGAAGAGAACAGGCTCGGAGGACAATTCAACGTAGTGGGATCTTATATCCTGTGTATCGAACTGTGGTACGATCTAGACACAGGGCCTATTTTAAAGCATGCGGCGAAAGACATGAAAGGAGATATCAAGGTACACTCAAAGGGGTCGGTCTGACGAAAAGAAGGACCTTGTGCTCAAGCCTTGAAAAACCAACTCACAACAGGGGCCGTGGTCGTGGATAGATATCTCGACAAGACTGGACTTATAATGACGGAAACACCGGTACCCATGGCGTGCGTCGCTTGCGATTCAAATTAGGATGCCACCAAACTTTAGTCGCGTCATCAAGATTCGGAGGTATTACCCGCCAATCAAGAATAAATGAAGACGAGGCACTCGGTTAGAAACAATATCCAGATTGCATCTTCCAGCTTACGAACCCTGATACGCGCAAAACCTTCCAACTACCTAGTTTACTGGGCCAGCGGGGTTAAAGTGCATGGGCGTGCGGGACAAGGATGATTTGGGATTTGATACTGAAATTGAGAAAAATAGGAGGCAATAATGATCATCCAAAATAAACTTTCAATATACGGTGTCGATCCCAAACCAGGATCACGAGATATCCCGGCGCCGTTACGCCAGCTCAACCCTCGACACCTAGCGCATTGTCTTTCGTGGTCTGATCTATTTGGGCCGCAAAATCAGGCCACCAAACCTGAAGGTCATGTCATACATAGATAGCTCCGTTCTTCGTAGCGCCGTAACATGGGCGGGTTATGGTCCGACTGGGCTGAGTATCTAAACGACGTCCTTCACCTCAAAGGATCTGCTCTCTGTAGCCTTCATGGCTTTTGGGGCTACCCTGTGTGCAATAAATAATCACTGCTCCACTTGAACTCAAAATATATTAATACGAATTCCCATGTTTCTGAACTTTTGTGCGACACGACGTCTCCGAGCGAGGAGTTCACTGGTCTATCAAGAGACCCTTTGCTGAGGCCAACAATGTATAAGTAAAGGAGGTTGGGCTGCATGGTTACCTCGCTGCCGCAACTTACTCGTACCTCACCATTGTTGACAGCGATTTTTGTCCTAAGCGACCGACAATGAAGTTTTCTACAGTCATCGTCGCTGGTTTTGCCGTTCTAGGCTCTGCGGCGGTGCTGAAAGGCGCACAATTTGGTGATCCGCCCCAACTACCTCTCCCAGTCGATTTCACCCGAACACTAACATTATTAGAACCGTGCACTACGGACGTCCAATGCACATCAAACAGGTGTAATAGTGAGTGACAATAACCCATCACAATGTCTTGGCAGGTTTCTCCAAGGAGACTGGCCTAATAGTTGGCATACGCAGAGGGGAAATGCGACGTTTGTAACCGAAGCACGCCAAACTGGGGCAGTACGTATTTCAAAGACCAACAAAGATGACCATCCGAAAGCTGAAGATACCAATAGTGGAATGTCCACCCCTTTTTTCCGGTGCCCGCGACCCCTGCTGCTACGGATTGTGTCAGAGTCAGTTCGCCCATTTTCTTTCGTTGCGTACTAGAGCTGAAAACAGAACAGAGGACAGCACCTCGAGCTCGGGTTTCAGATGTGCTCGTGTCAATGGCGTCTAAAGTTTCTGCGGTCACCTGATCAGCTCTTGTTAACAAATAAACTTGCGATCCGATTTTGAACAAAATAAACTTTGAACCAAATCAACGAGTATTCGAGGCGGGCCCAAACACGACTCGTTTGTCACGCCAGGCTCAGAAACCGTTCTGAGCATTTGAGATGAACAACATGCATGCATGCCAGAGCTCAAGAAATTGAGGAAGATATAAGACACTCAATGGGTGCACCGCGATCGTGCTTGACGAGTTATAGAAGTTGACCGTGCTCATAAATGTCAATGATTTCTAAGCTTCATATGTCCATTAGCATTGATCGTGATGCGG